CCTTCTGCAGGTGCATGTTCTTGGTCAGCTGCTCCTCCAGCATGTTCTGCAGTTTCTTGTTCATCTCCCGCAGGTTCTCATCGCCGGGCTTCACCAGGTCCCGCAGCACGGAGCCCAGCCCCCCCCTCTCCTGCTGGCCGCCGTGACCCCCGGCAGTGGCTCCGGACACGTCTGGCAAGCAAGGAAACAGGAAGTGGAAAGCGAGGTCAACCTCACAGGCCAGCAGCTCCCCGCCTCCAACCTCACCCTCTCCGGCTTGTGACTGAGTTGGAGCCTAAGTTGCTGCTTAACTAAAATGGTTAGAAAAGGCCATTGACAGTAATTGGGTTTGACCACTTGCCCTCTGGAGCCTCAGTCAGCCCCTTTAGCTGTGATGTACAGAAAAAAAAAAAAGAGAGGAACCTGCATCAGGTAAGAAAGAGGTACCCGAGTTTGATTTGATCACAACCATTAACGCGATCAGGCTTTAAAGTCGTTTTGTATTTTCACAACGGGAGAAACTCATCAAGCACCAACTCAGACAGGAACTCACTCCCCCCACCAATACTGCTCTCCACTCTGAAAAGAAAACACTCATCTATCTCAAAGCCACTTGTAAAATGATCACATTTTCACACATTTGGTGAAAAAGACACTATAGACACACTACTATCCATCCTTTTTTCAACCACTTCTTCCAACACAAGCTGGCGGGGGAGCCAGAGGCGATCCTGGGACTCAAGGGGCGCGAGGTGGGACGCCAGTCCATCTCGGGGCACACACAAACACCGACTCATGAGACAGGCTCACACTCACACCAGGGCCAGTTTTCCAGAAGCCCATGAACCCGCCAGCACGTCTTTGGACGGTGAGGACATTCCAACTCACACAGCCACACACGGGAGGCACCCCAGGAACCGAACCCAGGGCCCCAGCACTGCTCACCACTGTGCCACCATCTCTACTACGAATCTAGTTCAACTGATTTTATTATATTTTATTAGCTTGTTTAATTACATTTCTTTTAAATGTCTAAAATCTTCAAAACGGATTATCAGGGGTAATGCAAGCAATTGTTTTGTGTCCAGCAAGGGGGGGACGGCCCTTGCAAAGCTAACTGGAAGGAGAGAAAACAGCAGGCACTTATCTTAACATGCAGAACTGCAAGAGCTGAGAACATAGAACAGAGTTTAGTCAGCTATTGAACTTTCCTGTATTGTTTCCCCCACTTGGATCCAAAACAAACATCTTGATCATATCCTGCGATAACTAAGCTACGAGAAGCTAAACGATCCACGTGAACAAAGCGGAGCTCATCTGTAATGATTCTCATATTCCTACACAGAGGTCACCCGCTTAGTCAGTTATCAGGATACTGGTTTCCAACACAGACACTAATAATGTCAAGTGGAGTGACTGTGGTCATCTACTGTTTCTACTACAGCCCTCCAGCTTCGGAAACCCAAACACAGACTGGTAACAGAGCCCTCCGGGGAGAGGACAGGCCAGCAAGCGATACGGCCAATGACCTGAAATTAGACTAAATGCACCGGGTTCAGCAGTCCAGTAATCTCAACTGGAGGGGTGGCTGCCCCAGTTTCATTTGATTTGAATCCAGTGTAAAGGGCCATACCAGACACTGAGATCATCGCTTGCTTTGATTAGGTAAGCGATACTGTCAGGTCGTTGGCGGTCCAGGTGACACCTGTTCACTGAAGATCTGGCGTTTCAAGTTTAAAGCACAGTCATGTTCCTGCTGACCTATTAAGAGTAAAACAGGGCTCTTACAAGTGGTATCCTTCCTGCAAGCAGAGCTTGGTCTGGGCAGGCTAGAACACTACGCAGGCACAATACCATGCTTGCATGGCTCCACCTGCACTCCTGTGAGGAAATGGTCATGTTTGAAAAGGTGAATTAGCAAAGTTATATTTCGCACATTTCAAATCAAGTTAAAATTGAAACAAACACAAACAACAGCTTGGTTACCAACTTGGTTACTAACTCTTCAATTGCCCGTTCTCAAAATCCAGTCCCAGCCGTTTAAATATTACGTATTTATTAAAAGGCATACAAAAATGTTTTCTCTGCAAAAGACAAAAGCAGAAATCAGTTTGAGGATTGCTGTGTAATTCTGCTGTGTTAGTCTAATGTCTGGCAAACAAGTACCAAAAGAAATGTTACTGTGTGATTTAAGAGATGTACTGTTCTTCCTCCCAGCAAAAAAACAAAACACCCCAGTAATCTCAGCATATTTCACCAATAATGAACAGCTGATTTAAAAGTAATGAGAGACTGTCACAGAGGAAAGATTTGCAATCTTTTGCTTAGCACAGAAAAGCTTTGGGGCTTCACCTTGACCAAGAGTGTCAGTATAAAATAATTTTAACTGAAAAAAAATCAGACACTCGAGCATTATGCTGGTGAGAATAATGCTGATATGCTCCGTTTTGGGAGAGTTTCACAGCAGAGAGGATTTATAGCAAAAGCACAGATAGTGAGTATGAAATACGCTGGGGACAAGTTCTTCTGTATGGTATTTGTCCTTGGAAAACCTTCATGTTACAACTTCTAATCTATATTTCTGGGCATCACTCTGCTCTTATATTATGGCAGGTGTCTCAACAGCACACCACTACTGGACTACTGTAGTCATACATCTACTTTGTTGAATTAGTGAGCTACTGAACACACTGCAGCCTCTCACCCTAACAATGAACTCCTGAACACACTGCAGCCCAGCTCACTGATACTGAGACACTCAACACACTGCAGCCCAGCACTCTGAAAATGTTCAATATCAGAGAGCTCCAATGGGTTGAGCTGAACAGCTCATTATGTGGAGAAAAAAAGTATCTATCTATGGAGGCCTGTGTTGTAGTGCTAGAATGCGAACTGTAGCTTTCTCATTGTCGCTGACCGAGCAAAGTTTCGGTCTCCTCTTCCCAGCAGGCTAGAGAGCCCAGTGAGCACTGCATTATTGAAGATGAGTGTTGAGTTCAGTTAGGCGTGTCTTCGTCCTGAATCATTTACATCCTGCTACTGTCAGCTCTCATCTACCAACTGTGGCTGATGCTCTCTTGTTCTCCTTTCACATCTCCCCAGTGCAGTATTTCCTGCTAGGAAAATGCGATGATCAAAAAAGCTCACCGCGAGCATCACAGTCTGCCATTAGCCAGCAAACCATGAGCCTTGTAGCACAGCGTCCAAACGGAATTTGTGACAGGCCCCAGTCTGTCAGCCTTCCCCACACTGTTTGTCAAATATTTCATGCACTAATAACACAGGGATAAAGAGAGAAAAAACAGAAACTTTTCATCTGTTTCCTTTTATGTTTGTCCCTTCTGCACCTGTGCACAGCATAACAAACCAGGACCCGCTGGCGCCTGAAGTACAGCTCAGCCTTGAAATTGTTCTGTGAAACACTCCAATATCAGCCCTCTGTATTGCGCAAATAAATACTGTAATCTGTAATATTCCATTGGTCAGATGCACATTACAGCTCTATATAGGGATCACAAAGAATGCCGATGCAATATAGATGAAGTCAGTTATACTGACTCAGCAGAAACGTGGCTAAGATGCACAGCATTAAGCTTTAATCCATTAATCGCTTTTTTAACAACTTAAAACCCCTTCTTTATAACAAACTATGCAAGGTATTCTGCTTAGAAGAATCCAATATCATTCCACTTTTTTAACACTGAGCTACTGAACACACTGCAGCCCAGCACCGTGACTCTGAGCCACTGAACACCCTGCAACAGCAGCAGTTTCCACTAACGGCTCTCTCAAGATCAATCCAATTGCTTCCCTCGGAAGATGAAGTGTCAAGAGACATTTTTATCTGTTCAAGTGCACCTCCTGTTACATCTTTGCTCAGAAAATTCTTATAGGGGGGAAAAAGGTAAAAGCCCCTGAAATACAAAACAGCACTGTTTCCCTGCAAACCAGTCACATTCGATACAAATGTTTAAGAAAATACAACACATATGCAGCAACTCAATATTTCTGGTACCGTCTTTGTAAAAGGTGAAGAAAGAAAAACTCGTTACAGGAGGCAGAAAATAGGAGAATTATAGAAAATTTTATAAAATAGAATAAATAATTGGCACCGAGTCATTGAGGAGGATATCTTGCATATTTGCGACAGTATTTACAATTAGAGAATGTCGGCCTTGAGAGAAGAGAGCCTAGCATTCAATGTTAAACTGGTCATTCATGAAATTAAACAGGGAGAGAACTGCGATACGAGGAGGGAGAAAGAGGGGGGAAGGAACAAAGAGAGAGAGACCATCAGAGCCGTGGAAACAGAGACAAGGCGAGCCCTTCCTCAAACCCTCTTAAACAAGAGTGCGGAAATGGGATTATGGAGTTAAAAACAGGTAAAATAAAACTGATAAAAAACCACCGCACGATAAACGTAGAACATTACCTCCCTGGCCTCCTGAAAACCTCGCGGCGACCCGTGACCTCCCGTTTCAAGACCCAAAGCGGGAACTGACTAGCTGTGCAGGAGGAAGGGGACAAGAGGCCGCAGGACGAGAAGGGGGAAGAGGGAACTGTAAACGAGACGCGACAGTGGCAGGGAGGAGGCTCCAGGCCAGGGGGCCGATGGATCGGGGAGGGCACACGGCTGCCAGGAGGACAGCCAGAGGGTATAATGGGGGCACAGAGGCTCCCCCCCCAGAGCAGGAATACCAGCGTGGCTTCTACCGAGCACAGCTCTTCACTGGCGCTGTCCGATTGCTCCTGAAAGTGGATATAACGCCTTATTTTTTAAGACTATCCCGTCAGAACTCATCCTGAGCGTCTGCAGCTATAAAGAACCGAATAAATAACCCCAGCCCTAGTGTGGAGACTGACCCCCTAACCCCAGCCCTAGTGTGGAG